TAAGGGGACCTGTTGATTCAACTATCTATTTTGATTTGATAAACATTGTTTAGTAAGCATATTATATCTCTTTCATAAATACTAGTAATTGTCTGTGTCTGAAGGTACATAATAATAAAAAATGATAAATAATAAACATATTTGTATTTGTTTCAAAAATTAAATCACAAATATAGATAAGAGATAAATGAGTTTAAATATCAGTTTGTAGTGGGGGTAAAAAGTGGTGTATTGTAGTGATGGTGGTAGGAGACAGTGATTGTTGTGATAGGTGGCAATAACCATGGTGGAGGCGAGGGCGGCGGTGATAGTGGTGGTGGCAGCAGCGGCGGTGATGGTGGTGGTGGCTGCGGCTACGGCGGCGATGATAGTGGTGGTGAAAGTGGTGGCAGCGACGACAATGATGGCGGCGGTGATGGTGGTGGCGGCGGCGATAGCGGCAGTGGTGGTGGTAGTAGTGGTGGCAGTGATGGTGATTATGGCGACAGTATTGGCGGTGGAGGTGGTTGGGGTGGTAGAGATAGTGGTCGAACGGTTTCAAACATTATTTTTTTTAAAAGTATTTATGAGAAATAATTTTTAGAAATATTTTTAAAAAGTCACTCCAAACACACCCTCAAAAACCTATTTTTTCTATTAAATTTAAGGTGTGTTAATAATAGCCGTTAGATNCAATTTAAAGAAACTTTCGAACTTCAGTATTTGTAAACCTGAAACTGGTGTTCATTGATGCTCATTGGCCTGCTTTTAATAAAGGTGATCGTTGAACTTCGCCATTCCATGTACGTTTTTTTTGTATTGACATCATGAGTTATCTAAAATCAAAATACATTTATTTTGATTTTGGTGTTTTTTATTTTGGGCAGAAAATTTTTGTTCTTGAACANATTAACTCTAAAGTAAAATTTAAAATGATCTCAACCGCGAATAGCAAAAGTCATTTTATTTATCTTTTCAAATTTGAATTGTAAGCTACTTTATTATATAAATTGGACAACAGTCGGTGTATTGGAAAAGAATCTATTTCAATGCAACCAACGATCCTTAAATACGTGGCATGTAATATAAAATAATAATAATAAATTGTATTGAAATGAATCTAAATTTGATGAACATATGCTACTACACTATTCAAAATCAGAATACAAAGAAATACACTCAAACTAGTGCCTCCATGTGATGCAAAATATTTTCAATCTCTTTTATTAAAATTTTACCACTTTGATCGCCACCGACATTCCCACCCNATTTTCTCTAACTCTTTGTGTTCCATAAACAAGGAGAGGGTTTCAACTGTGAATTGTACATCAATTGACAAAGAATGTGGGGTTTAATTGGCCCAAACTCAATAATGGTAAAAGTTTTGTTCGCAATTTAAAGAAACTTTCGAACTTCAGTATTTGTAAACCTGAAACTGGTGTTCATTGTTGCTCATTGGCCTGCTTTTAATAAAGGTGATCATTGAACTTCGCCATTCCATGTACGTTTTTTTTTGTATTGACATCATGGGTTATCTAAAATCAAAATACATTTATTTTGATTTTGGTGTTTTTTATTTTGGGCAGAAAATTTTTGTTCTTGAACTTCTATAGAGTTTCCTTTTTGAAGGAAAAATCCTACTATTTAGCCCATTTGATGTAAGATCATCAATAACATTTATTTTTTGAAGATTTTTTCGTCATTTGAAGATACGTATGAACTTCGACATTTGAAGATCAGAATTAGTTGTTCAAAGTTGATCACTACCCTGTGTGAAATACGATGTTTCTGTCATATTAATTCATTGTGTATGAATAAATTGTGTATATCTCCTAACTGTTGACCATGTTTCCCTCACAGTGTAATAATACACTGTAACAAAGACAGTGTTCAGTGATTTTGTGGATGCAATAATAAATTTAAAACAGAGATGAACTGTCTAAATGAAATTATATGCAAATATATATTTGATAAAATGTAATACTACAATATTTTGTGTAAGTGTCTTGTTATACTGTTATTGTTACGCTGATATGGAGTTCACATATTAAAAAACGGAATAATCACCTTTAAAATAATAAAAGATACTGTTGCAAAATTTAAAATTCAAACGAACTGATTTATCCTCACAATAAATGTAAGATTCAAATAATCAAATCTTCCATTAAATTAAAAGATTTTTAATGCATACATTTATCCTCAAAAAAAAAAATTAAATAAAAGGATCAGATCTTCCATTAAGTTAGGAAGAATCAAATCTTTCATTAAATTAAAAGATTTTTATGCATACATTTATCCTCAAAAAAAAAAAAGGGATCAAATCTTCTATTAAATTATGATATTTTTAATGCATACATATAATCTGGAAAAAAAAAATCAGTTTCCAAAAATTAATCACATGAATTAAAGGAGCACAAATGTCAAAGAAAAATCCAAAAATTGCAAATTATGTACTTTGACACAAATAAGAACTAAAATTAAAGACTTTTTTCCTCTCTATTTTTTTCTGTGTATTTTTTTATAATTAACTCCACAAAGACAGGGTTTTAAAATTTGAAATTCAAACAAAATTATATATCCTAAAACTAGGAGATGTTTAATGCATAAATAAACGGAATATTAAAGTAATCCCATAAAACTAAGAAATATTTAATACATAAATGTAATTTGAAAAAAGAACTACTTTAAAAAAAAAAAAAATACGCATGGATCAAGGGAGGACATAAAGGTCACAAAAAAATCTTAAAATTTCAATTAGTGTATTTGGACACAAATATGTATCAAAATTAAGGACCTTTTTACTTTATATTTTTTTTATATACTTTTTTACAATTAACTCCAATCTGATGTACCCCTTCCAATTTCTCCCAAATTTAAAGTAGTTTTTGTGGGAATAGTCATAAAAGTTACATGGATTGATAATTTCATGAGATAAATGTATTATTATTAAATGATTCAACATTATAAAAAACTATTACTTGATGAGGAAAAGATATGCAAGGATAGTTGGGAGTTTGAATGGGGATCGGTAGTTTACTCAGAGTAGATTTTCGGAGAAATTGAAAACTAACAAAGAGAATAAGAGATTGTCATGTGTAAATTAAAATGTATTCAAAAAAAAATTCTGAAAATTAGCATCCAAGATTTGAAGCTCATCCATCCAACTATATGTAAAAAGAATATAAAGATGTTCTCTTTATGACGTGACATACTAATATGTGACATATTGATATGGCTTCCCATATCAACCGCTAAAAGTTGAAAAACAAAAAAAGCAACATTAAATGCACCTTAAACTTTTTTTCTCCTTTGTGGTCCGTCATCTGTGGGAAGTACATGCGTGGACAACATTTTCTGGGAACAAATACTATATAATTTGGTTGTAGGAAGTAGAAGCCATAACTTGTATGAAGTGTGATGTTGCAAGTTCAAGTCAACTATCACATCTATAATTAAAAATGTAATGTGTTGGTGTTTGTGTTTGTATTTGTGTTGGTGAAGAGAGAGAACTATAGAAAGATAGAGGCACCAAGAAAGGAAAGAAGTGTCGGGTAGGCTGGGGTTAGTGTTGAGCTGCACCAGGGATTCGGGGGTGGTTCACTTTTGAGTTGCTTTAAGGAGATGGAGGGGCAATTGTTAATTATTGGTTTTCCGTGAAAATTCAAAACTTATTAAATTCTTGTCTAATTTAATTTATTATAGATCATGCAAAAGGTATTTTAAAATTGAGCAATGTTATTGAGACCTAAAAATCTGACATAATTTATTGATCTAATTCACTGTAACCTTTGAATTGACTGTAGGCCCCATCAAACATTAGAACTTGGTGTTGATCCAATGATACCTATTAAGTCACATCATTATGTCAGCAAATTAGATCAAATTTTTAAGTTTAAATAACATTACCTGTTAAAACTTTGTTCCAAAAATGTGAGNAAACATTAGAACTTGGTGTTGATCCAATGATACCTATTAAGTCACATCATTATGTCAACAAATTAGATCAAATTTTTAAGTTTAAATAACATTACCTTTTAAAACTTTGTTCCAAAAATGTGAGGACTTCACTAAAATTGGACAGTCTCTCAAATGAAATCAAAGGTTAGGGGATAATGCGTGACAATAAATAAAACAAGACGTTTTGATTTATTATAAAAATTGATAAATCGTTAAATTTCAACAATCTGAATCGTTATTATATTTTTATAGATATGGGGGATGACAATGTTATTTTGAATATTCAAAGGGACTCCAGTGATAAATTTTAAAATTTACCTTCTTTGTTTAACTAGGCAATTAAAATACAGAAATTTTCATCTCTGACCAACAGTAAGAAGAAAGAATAATATTGTTTAAACTTAAAAAATGACCTAAAAACAAATAGGACTGCCGAATCATAACTTCGGTGTATCCATTTTTAGGACGAAACTTTCAATTATACTAATGCTTGCCATGTTCAGAACGCGGGGCCTAATTGTGAGACCCTCTACAGACACTCCATTTTGGACGGCGGGTGTGAGGAAGGTTGGCACTCCAATGCATCATGCAACGGACGATACCGGTAAAAGGACATAAATAATATATATATGTATGTATAGTATGATATGGAGAGGGAAAAGGTGATCTGAAATATTACCTAAAGAGTAAAATTTATCTTTGAAAATCCATTTGCAAGGAATACTTTATTTTTATTCAGCGGCTCTATATACCAATTAATATTTAATGAATAATAAAATAATATTATAAACTCAATAATTTATATACACATAATTTAAACTCTAAACTTGAAATCATTAGAGAGAGAGAGGGCTACTTGAGGGAGTTGGGGAGAAGCCACGAGGTGNAAATAATATTATAAACTCAATAATTTATATACACATAATTTAAACTCTAAACTTGAATTCATTAGAGAGAGAGAGGGCTACTTGAGGGAGTTGGGGAGAAGCCACGAGGTGCCATCTTGAGGGTGGTGAGGTATAAAAAGGGTCACAGAGGCTCAGTAAAGAGAACCCCCACATATAGTTATTCGTTTCCTTGGGGATTGAGAATACTCAATTCAATGAATCATCACTAACTCCTTTCTCTCTCTCTCTCCTCATTGAACTTCTCTTTTCTGGTGAGGGTGGTTAATGTGATCTTCTTGGGTTTATAAATCCCAATCTTCCTTGTACTTGATTTGCTCTACTTGAGGGTACTTGATCTCTCTTGTTGACAAGATGGGTGATAAGAAAGGTTTCGATGATCTTGAAGGAATTAAAAATGAGACTGTTGATTTGGTAATGTATAGTCCTCTTTCTTCCCTTTGTCTCTTTCATTTATATATGGATATTTTGAATTAGAGGTTTGATTTTCCTTTCTTATTTTCTGGGAAAATGCTTTCAAATAGATATATATGGTTATAATGATTTCAGCTCAATACTCTCAAGCCTTCTGTTTCATCTAGTTCCGTGTGTTCACGGTTCAGTTTATCACGAAGGAGAACAATTTTTTTGCTTTATGTTTTGCCTGTTGAAGATGAAATTTTTTTTTCTAGTTCATGCGCATGTGATTCGTTGCTTTCAACTTTCGTACATGTTCTCTTTTTCTCATACACAAACAAGAACGACCAAACAACTTGCTGTGAAAACTGATCATGTTCCCTCTCTCTCTCTCTCTCTCTCACACACACACACACACACTATTAGAAGACGACTTTTCCCCTTGATCTCTTTTTGACAAGTTAATAATATGGTCTAATTCCTACAAGCATNCTCTCTCTCTCTCTCTCTCTCTCTCACACACACACACACAATTAGAAGACGACTTTTCCCCTTGATCTCTTTTTGACAAGTTAATAATATGGTCTAATTCCTACAAGCATGATACATAGGTCTCCATTTTCATGTTCTTGTCCNACACACTATTAGAAGACGACTTTTCCCCTTGATCTCTTTTTGACAAGTTAATAATATGGTCTAATTCCTACAAGCATGTACTTTAATTTGATAAATAGGTGCAATCAACATAATTCCTCTCCATCATGTGTGTGTGTGTTTGTGTATTTATACAAAGAATATGTAGAGTTTAATTTAGATCAATGACAATATGACCTATTTTCATTAGCTATATTACCGTGACAAAAATTTTGTACACTGGTGGTCCTTTTTAACATTTCTTTTTTAACACTTCTACTTTTTAAGTGGAAATGTTGTAGTGTTCTTTGGTCAAAAAAATAAAAAAAAAAAAGCATTTCTTTGTTGACATTAAAACTNTGACAAAAATTTTGTACACTGGTGGTCCTTTTTAACATTTCTTTTTTAACACTTCTATTTTTTAAGTGGAAATGTTGTAGTGTTCTTTGGTCAAAAAAATAAAAAAAAAAAAGCATTTCTTTGTTGACATTAAAACTAAAAAAAAAATCCAACATCTTATTTCTTGTGAGAAGAAATAAGATGAAAAAAAAGAGAGTGGCGTTATCGCTACAAGTATTTCAAATTTGATGTCAATTCAATTTTATATATAGATTCTTGAATTTGGTGCATGTATAGAGATTTCAATCAATTTATTATTTTAATCTAAAAATGTTTGATTATTTGAATGGTCTATTTGACCTTTAGAAGGGTGAAATGGTACAATAACATAGTACAAGAGAACAATATACAATTTTTCCTAAAATTTTATATATGGTTCTCAATAATGTCAAACAAAAGAGTTTTCCTTTATTTTTGGCATTAAATTAGTAAAGTGGTGAAAGATTAAATAAAATCATAACACCAATAGAGAGGGAGAGAGTTATATTTGGCCCAAGAGCGTCCTTTAGCTCNATGTCAAACAAAAGAGTTTTCCTTTATTTTTGGCATTAAATTAGTAAAGTGGTGAAAAGATTAAATAAAATCATAACACCAATAGAGAGGGAGAGAGTTATATTTGGCCCAAGAGCGTCCTTTAGCTCCCTTTGTCTGTTAAAAATTCTTGGTAACCCACTCTTCTTTTGATATTCTTATTTTTGGTATCTCACTTTACTCCCAAACGGCGCGACAAGTGACATCTGAGACCCCTAATTATATTATTCTATCTTAATAGGTGCCTTGCTGTGATGTCAAAGTTGAGATTAATGAGGTGGCGTCATGTTCAAATCTCATCAATTTTTATTTTTTTTTAGGAATAATCTGTGATATAGTCCATAGGAGGATAATTTTTTCTGTCACACTACTACTAGGGAGAGATAAAAAATTAAAGGATGAAAAAAATATGAATGATAGATTTTCATCCTTGAAAGAAAGAAAAATATTTTTTCTCCCTTTTGTTTGCCATGATGATTAGAAAGTTAGAGGGATTAAATTTTTACTATTTGGTATTGAAATGAAAATTAAAAGAAAAGAAAACAGNTAGGTGCCTTGCTGTGATGTCAAAGTTGAGATTAATGAGGTGGCGTCATGTTCAAATGAAAATTAAAAGAAAAGAAAACATATACGAATTGAACTTAATTTACCATTATATTATTACATTGAAAAAAAATTATTACAATAAACTTTTCAAGATTCGAAGATGTTCAAACCCACTTTAATTAGCTATAAAAATAAAATAAATATATACTAAAAAAATAGTAAAGAAGCATACATATATAAAAAAAAAAACATGTTAATATGTCGATAAAAACGTCTCTCGAGAAATATACAAGTTTCAAAGACAAAAATTTCAATCAATCCAAAAAATATCCAATCTTAAATTTTCTTTTCACTTTCCTCGCAATTTGTTTTCACTAAAATTTAAAGGTCTTATACAATTTCTCTAAACTAATGTATTTTATTGTTTAACCACTTTATTTTTTCTTTAATATTTGAAAGATACCCTATTTCTATGGCGTGTGACTTTACAATTCCGGTTGCCCCAGCCGGCAGAGTACTTTCTAATCTGCACAGTTTAGCCTACACTGATTGGTCGGCCCGGCTCTTCCGGATCTTTTAACACTACTTTTGTTTTTTTTTTTGGAGAATCCATTTAGTTTATGTTCAGTCAACTTGGCTGCAACAATCGTACATGTCACAATCAGGCAGTTGATTTCCGGACTTGTTGACAAAAAAAAATTCGGTCAGTTACTTTCAAAATTTATTGTTTGCTGATGTTTTTATAATTTTTATGAATTATTTTATAATACAAAAAAATTTATTATTTTTATAAATAATTTATTACTTTTATGAGTATTTTATCATTATTATTGGTATTTTGTCACTATTATTGATATTTTTATCATTTTTATAGTAATTATTTTTATCACTTTTTTTTGTTACAAAAAAAAATATCATTTTTGTGAGTATTTTTACCACTTTTTTTTCTACAAAAAAAATTATCACTTTTGTTGTTATTATAACATATTTTTTTCGGAAGGTATTATTATCACATATTTGTGAGAACTATTTTTACCACTTTTTTTGGTATAATAACAGTTATAAAAATATCCATAAATATAATAAATATTGGTTCAGTGCCAAAAATTGTTTTTTTGATACTGTAGACAAGTCCAAACACTTAGGATTGATATATAATTTTTTTGGTCTCATATTGTAATTTATAGGAATTACATTTAAATTTTTAAAGGGTAAAATTATAAATTTTGGGAGGTTTGAAAATCGATCATAATAATTTTAAAAAGGATTGTAAAATATTAGTGTCAATCGTAAAGAATCTAAAAAGATATAAATAATCCAATAATTTGTATACAAAAGAAATAGTACTTAACAAAATGAAATAAAGAAACAAAAAATTATTTAATCTATTTTTTTCTGGTAGATAATTTACTCTTTTTTTTTGATAAGTAATTTACTCTGATTTTTTGGTAGGTAATTTACTTTGTTTAACCCTTGCTAATTAATAGTGTTCTAAAAGATTATATCGGTATAAAGTCCGGCCTTCCCAATTTTCTATTATAAGCGAAAAAAAAAAATCTTATGAAATTTTCTACATATCTATAATTATTGTTATATTCGAACTTATTATCTTGTAATTGTTACCACTCATATTTTAGGCTTTTTAACCACAATCAATTTATTTACATTTAACCCCACTACAATAAATATTTTAATCAATCAATTATACTTTAACCTCAATAAACATTTTAAACAACCTTTTAAAAAAAAGGGTATTTTGTACGGACTACCTTTTAACCATAATAAAACAAAGTTGACAGGTAGCATTGTGAAAATAAATAATTNACCACAATCAATTTATTTACATTTAACCCCACTACAATAAATATTTTAATCAATCAATTATACGTTAACCTCAATAAACATTTTAAACAACCTTTTAAAAAAAATGGTATTTTGTACGGACTACCTTTTAACCATAATAAAACAAAGTTGACAGGTAGCATTGTGAAAATAAATAATTGTATGGGAAGGATCAAATCTGTTAGATTTGAACACATACTTCTTTTGTAATGCAAAAAATTTACTGATGATCCATGCTTTTTCCTCCTTCAGAAAGCATTTTCTTTTTTTTCTTTTTTTCATGCTTTTGTAGATTCATTGTTTGACAAAAAATCGATGTGGATGGAGCNTAGATTTGAACACATACTTCTTTTGTAATGCAAAAAATTTACTGATGATCCATGCTTTTTCCTCCTTCAGAAAGCATTTTCTTTTTTTTTTCTTTTTTTCATGCTTTTGTAGATTCATTGTTTGACAAAAAATCGATGTGGATGGAGCTGTGTGTGCTGAAGCCAAATTATATGTTGACAATGACAGTTTCTGAATCATTTTGTCGGGAATTTTCAAGTAAACATGACTTAGCTGGATAGAATAACAAGTTTTAAGCTTACTATGTGACTGTTAAATTGCCTCTGTCGTGTTAAGTGTCAGAATCTTGTTATCTATCTGCATAATTATGTATTTTTTTGACAGATTATATAAAATTCTAGTAAAATAAATCTTGAAATCAAAAGGGTCCTTAGCTCTTTCATCAGCTGTTTGTTTGCAATTACAGGAAAAAGTTCCAATTGAGGAAGTGTTTGGGCAGTTGAAGTGCAGCAGAGAAGGCTTAAGTACAGATGAGGGAGCCAACAGGCTTCAAATCTTTGGGCCCAACAAACTGGAAGAGAAGAAGGTATTTTTTCTTTCTGGATAAGACTAGGCACCGGAGTGTTAAGTTTCAGTATTGTCCCTACAGTTAGTATAAAAATCGTTAAGGTTATGGCTCAATCAGATAATTTTATGACACAATATTGTTGTTTGGGATGAATAATATACTAGAATTGATTCTTAACATTTAGGATTGGCCCTAGTTTGTGAGCATAGATTTCATTCTTTTCTGAGTTGTAACTTAAATGAATTGAATTGCAAGTAACCCTTTTTACATTTAACTTCTGATAATAATCCGAACGTACCCTTTCCTCTGTGATCAATGGCCTTACATCAGTGTCAAGATATATTCAATAATTACAAGGTTGTGATAGTTTCTTTCTTTCTCTCTGCAATGCACAGGAAAGCAAATTCCTCAAATTTCTTGGGTTCATGTGGAATCCACTGTCATGGGTCATGGAAGCCGCAGCTATAATGGCAATTGCGCTGGCTAATGGTGGTGGAAAGCCCCCGGATTGGCCGGACTTTGTTGGTATCATTTGCTTGCTCGTAATCAACTCCACTATCAGTTTCATTGAAGAAAACAATGCCGGAAATGCTGCAGCAGCTCTCATGGCTGGTCTTGCTCCCAAAACTAAGGTATATATATGATTTCTGTGAGAAATAAGAGGAACTATAGATAGAGAAAGTCCCATTAGATAAACCAGACCAACTGTACATTTACAACCTCTCATTTCATGTTTGTAAAGTATTCAAAATTACAGAGAGAACAAGTTCATTGAGCATTGCCAATATCAGATAATAATTTAGCTAGAGCATAATGACCAAAAGTAGAGATATTATCCTTTTTGATGTTTCATCAGTATAAAGCGTCAATCGAGTCATGTTATGTCATTTCTAGTTGTGTGACATTCGGATCATGTCATTTTGGCTTTAGTCATTTTTGTCCATGAAAAACTATCTAGTTTTAAAACAATCCATATAAATACTAAATGGATGAATGAAAAAAAAAATAAAAAAACCCTTATCTTCTTCTTACAAGCCCAGCTAAACGGCCTGCATACTAGTCCAGTCCAATTATTATTCTTGTTAATGAATCGTGCTATTTTTGGTTCTTGTCATGTCATTTCCGTATCAATGGGTGTCATGTCCGTGTTAATAGGTGTGACATGTCTAAGTAATGACTCTGTAGGTACTGAGGGATGGTCGATGGAGTGAGCAGGATGCTGCAATTTTGGTTCCAGGAGACATTATCAGTATCAAATTGGGAGATATTGTCCCTGCTGATGCTCGTCTTCTTGAGGGCGATCCGTTGAAGATTGATCAATCTGCCCTAACAGGTGAATCACTCCCTGTGACCAAGAATCCTTATGATGAAGTTTTCTCTGGTTCAACTTGCAAACAAGGTGAGATTGAAGCTGTTGTTATCGCCACCGGCGTTCATACCTTCTTTGGAAAGGCAGCACATCTTGTAGACAGCACCAACCAGGTTGGGCACTTCCAAAAAGTCCTCACTGCCATTGGAAACTTCTGTATTTGTTCCATTGCTGTTGGAATGGTGGTGGAGATTATTGTCATGTACCCAATTCAAAAGAGGAAGTATAGGGACGGCATCGACAATCTCTTGGTTCTCCTAATCGGAGGCATTCCAATTGCTATGCCAACCGTTTTATCGGTCACAATGGCTATTGGATCGCACAGGCTGTCACAACAGGGTGCCATCACAAAGAGAATGACTGCCATTGAGGAGCTGGCTGGTATGGATGTCCTCTGCAGTGATAAAACAGGAACTTTGACGCTGAACAAGTTGACCGTCGACAAAAACTTGATCGAGGTGTTTGCAAAAGGCATTGATAAGGAACATGTTCTGCTTCTTGCTGCAAGGGCATCAAGGACTGAAAATCAGGACGCCATTGATGCTGCCATTGTTGGTACGCTTGCAGATCCAAAAGAGGTATCTCTTTTCTTCCCTTTGCCTTCAATTCTTTAGAATCTGTTTGGTTAGATGGAGAATGCTGGAAAGAGAATTATTTTGAATTGCTGTTAGCGGGAAATAAATTTTCATTGCGGCTTTCATATTGTCTAAACCTGTAAACTAAAATGACCTTCTTGAAAACCTTTCATCATAATCAATTGCATGCAAGAATATTTATTTTCTTTTCATTTCATTTCCTTTACTTTCATTTTCTTAGGCTCGAGCCGGAATTAGAGAGGTGCATTTCTTTCCTTTCAATCCTGTGGACAAGAGGACTGCTTTGACTTATACTGACGCTGAGGGAAATTGGCATAGAGCTAGCAAAGGTGCCCCTGAACAGGTAACTTATTATTCTTATTATCTTTCTGGCTTCCTGCTTCATGCATTTATCAATGCAGGTTGAGCAATCAGGTCTCACTAAGTTCGGATTTTCTCTTATCTGGAACCAGATCTTAACCCTTTGCAGTGCCAAGGAGGACCTAAAGAAAAAGGTTCATGGTATGATTGATAAGTTTGCAGAACGTGGGTTGCGGTCATTGGCCGTTGCAAGACAGGTTTGCAATACCAATCTTCATACATTTTTACTCTTTTGTTCGTGTATATCTTTCAGAACCCATTAATGATAATTAAACCGAGTGTCATTTTGCTATTTTTTTCGGTGTACGTCTTTCTCTTGTTTCATTCTCTCCTTGTTCTTCCAATTGACAATGTACATCCTCCTACAGTATGTCTTTTAGACAACCATTAATGGAGACTAAACTGAGTGTTGTTTTGTTATTTTTTTTTTATATCTTTCTCTAGTTTAATTCCTTCCTTGTTCTCCCAATTGACACTGTACATCCTCTTGCTGTTGCTAATGTGCTGGATATTTTGCAGGAAGTTCCTGCAAAATCGAAAGACAGTCCTGGTGGTCCATGGCAATTTGTTGGATTGCTCTCCCTATTTGATCCTCCCAGGCATGATAGTGCAGAGACCATTCGCAGGGCTCTCCATCTTGGAGTAAATGTGAAGATGATTACCGGTAATTTAGTCTTAAGTCTTCCTGGGAAATGAAGTCATCATTCTTTTTTTTTTTTTCCTTCTTCTTAGTTGATTGCTTAACTAAAATGTTTTTCCAAATGTGTAGGTGATCAACTTGCCATTGCTAAGGAGACTGGCCGAAGGCTTGGAATGGGAACAAACATGTACCCATCTGCTTCTTTACTTGGTCAACATAAGGATGAATCAATAGCTGCACTTCCTATAGAAGAGTTGATTGAGAAGGCAGATGGTTTTGCTGGTGTATTTCCAGGTGGGTGCTGCTCTTTTGTACATAGAATCAATGCTAAGGGAATGTATAAGGTAGCAAGCTCCGTTACAACTTAATGGTTTGAGTTACAATCCTAAATATTAAGTTACCGCTAAATAAGTAGGGATGAACCCTAACATGATAGGATTGATCCCAAACAACTACACTTAGTTAATGACTTTCTGTACGCGGTAATGAAAGTAATTGCTTTAGTAACATTCTTTTTCATCCTTTAATATATCTTGCTTTACTGAGAGAAAGTGTTTCGAATGCTTATGTCTTTTGTTTTTCTTTTTTCTTATTATACAGAGCACAAATATGAAATAGTGAAGAAGTTGCAGGAGAGGAAGCACATTTGTGGGATGACAGGAGATGGTGTGAATGATGCCCCTGCTTTAAAGAAGGCAGATATTGGAATTGCAGTTGCTGATGCTACTGATGCTGCAAGAAGTGCTTCTGATATAGTGCTCACAGAACCAGGGCTCAGTGTTATCATCAGTGCAGTGCTGACCAGTAGAGCTATTTTCCAAAGGATGAAAAATTACACAGTCAGTCCCTCTCTTGTTTTTCTATTAGACTCTTTTAACATTTTCGCTGAACTGCCTCTAAATTCTGTTGTTTTTGCCCTGGCAGATATATGCAGTCTCCATCACTATACGTATTGTGGTATGTTGTTATTGGCACCTCGAATAATGTCAGTCATTATGTTTCATTGGACAGATTGCAGTATCAAAGAGTTTCTTTCGGTGTTGTAAAGAAGTTACGACTCAATAGGATAACGNAGTCTCCATCACTATACGTATTGTGGTATGTTGTTATTGGCACCTCGAATAATGTCATAGTCATTATGTTTCATTGGACAGATTGCAGTATCAAAGAGTTTCTTTCGGTGTTGTAAAGAAGTTACGACTCAATAGGATAACACTATGACTCCATCAGATAAATTACAACAAAATATGTTCGTTTCTGAGTGGTCCTGTCGTTTTAGGATCGATATGTACATTTTTGAGTTCTAAGTTAACCTGATTAAGTCATAGTTGATCTTTTTGAGTTGTAACTTGACAACAAATGTGTTAACACATATTGAGTTGTAACTTTCTATATGATACTAAACTCTTTCACCATTGCCCTTCCATATTTCATTCTCTTATTTGTGATTTTGCCTTTTGCTTTCTGTTTCACAGTTTGGCTTTATGCTTATTGCCTTGATATGGAAGTTTGACTTCTCTCCATTCATGGTTTTGATCATTGCCATCCTGAATGATGGTAACATATACTACATAATTTTCAAGTAGCTTAAAGACCACTTTTTGTTCCTTATATTTTTTCAATTCATAAAGATTGACACATGCATTATAATGTCTGCTAGGAACTATTATGACCATATCAAAGGACAGAGTGAAGCCATCTCCATTGCCCGATAGTTGGAAATTAAGAGAGATCTTTGCCACTGGCATTGTTCTCGGAGGCTATTTGGCGTTGATGACAGTCATATTCTTCTGGATAATGAGAGATACTACCTTCTTCTCAGTAGGGAAACATCAGATTAATTTCTCTATATATGTACTGAGAAAAGATCATTTATCCACATTTGGCATTTGAATTTTTACATATGTTCTTGCAACGATATGCAGGATAAATTTGGTGTTAAACATCTGAAGGATAGCCCTAAAGAAATGATGGCTGCTGTATACCTGCAAGTGAGTATTGTGAGCCAGGCTCTGATTTTTGTGACTCGATCTCGTAGCTGGTCCTATGCTGAACGCCCTGGACTGCTGCTAATGAGCGCATTTGTAATTGCACAGCTGGTAAGAGTCTCGTGCCTTGTATAAGTCTAAACTAACTCAACAAAGGCTTATCTTATACTTTACCATATACCTGCCTGTTCTGAAAAATTCCAATTTTCAATGAAATCAAGGTGTATTCTAAGTCGAAAACTGCTGATTCTTTCAGGTGGCAACTATAATAGCTGTATATGCAAACTGGGGATTTGCAAAAATCAAAGGATTTGGTTGGAAATGGGCTGGTGTGGTCTGGCTTTACAGTATTGTCTTCTATGTGCCACTTGACGTAATAAAATTCGCCATTCGATACATCTTAAGTGGGAAGGCTTGGCTTAATCTGCTAGAGAACAAGGTACATATAAAATTTGCAGACATTTCTAAGGGTCTTTTTCTATTTCATTCTCACTTTTATGTCAATTTAATTCCATAATCTGAACAAAAATCTGTTATTTTTTCTCTTTGAAACAGACTGCTTTCACCACCAAGAAAGATTATGGCAAAGAGGAGAGAGAAGCTCAATGGGCTCTTGCCCAGAGGACTTTACATGGTCTTCAACCTCCAGAACCAGCCAATATCTTTAATGAGAAGAACAGCTACAGAGAACTGTCTGAAATTGCTGAACAGGCAAAGAGGCGAGCCGAGGTTGCAAGGTATGGCACCACTATCTCAGCCAGATTTCCCTTCGTTCAGAATACTATTTTATGTGCATTGCTGTACTACTATTACAATGAGCAATCACGAAGGACAATGCACTTTTAGTAGAAGAGAAAGCATGCAGAAATGAGTGAAAAAAAATCCAAAAGAGAGGCATAATATAACTCCAAAAAAGGGAAATGGGTATCTGCAAACTAAAAACCAAACATTTTTCGTTTTGTGGCTGTAGGCTTCGAGAACTGCACACGCTCAAAGGGCACGTTGAATCAGTGGTGAAGCTGAAAGGTCTGGACATTGAAACCATTCAACAGCACTATACAGTTTAAGAAGCTGAAGAAATTCTACATGAGAGGGACTGAGCTCAACAAACACCAAGATCAAGAAGAGAAAGAAGCCCTTACCAGATAAAACTTTCTGGACAAGGGGAATAGTCAAGTGCTAAAATTTCCGTGTATTTAATATTTCCTCTCTTATGTATCTCAAGTGCCCCCCAGGAAGGGTTCTTTTATGTTTTCTCCGTCTTTAGCATGAAGTAACATAATCTATGACACACTCTTTCCACTTTAATCTTCTTTTCCTTGCTTTCTTTCATGCCTTAATGTGCCTGTTTTGTTCTGTCTACATTCTCATGGTGTATGTTGCCTTTGGATGTGGATGACAAAACTAACAAAACACTGGGGTTATTAAACTCTAAGGGTCCAGTTAGTAAGTTCTGCCGATTGGATAGGATTGGTTTTGGCAGACTAATTCAAACCCATCCAGCTAGGTGTTTGGGATAAGTTTGAAAAGGAAATTAACATAATTTTATCTTATCCCATGTTTGGGAATGAATGAAAACATAGATAATTGTAACCATTTATGTATGAAATGAGAGCAATATGCATTCTTGGGTTTTATTTGTCAAGTTAAGCTTCTTCTTTTGTATTCGAAGCTCAAAAATCTATGAACTAGCTCATGCTTGGCTAGCCAAGCATATGAACGGCCAGCTAAGCTTACTTGAGGAAAACTGTTTGTCCTTTGGGAACGACTTCCCACTTTGTGTATGGTTCGTAATTAACTGGAGCAGGCAAGCAAACAAACCCTTACTTCTACAAGGTCGAACAGATTCTAACTTCAGAAGATACAACAAATTCTACGTGACTTTATGCTAAGTTCAATAGGAGCGGAGCAGATAAGACAGGACTTGAAAGAGAAAGTTTCGCCGAAGAGTTCACATACTACTAACCCTGACGAAAACGTTAAAGTTCACGGAACAGCTTGAACCGAAACGAATTCACACAAACTACGAAAATAATTTTTGTCAGAAGGTAAAGTGGGTTTCAACCTTTCTTACTCACATGGTGGGTTCGTCCCTGAAAGAGTAGAAGCTTGCTCACACTGTTCCGGGTTTAAAAAAAGGCAATCTTTTTGCTAATCCCTTAAAGCCAATAAAAAAGTTTTCCTCCCATGAATCTAGAGGGAGATGCATCTACATAAAAAAAAAAGTATACGCTTGTCTCATTTTTTTACTCAAATCAAGAGAGACTCAAATCTTTAATGATGAAATTTTAACATATGTTAANTTAAAAAAAGGCAATCTTTTTGCTAATCCCTTAAAGCCAATAAAAAAGTTTTCCTCCCATGAATCTAGAGGGAGATGCATCTACATAAAAAAAAGTATACGCTTGTCTCATTTTTTTACTCAAATCAAGAGAGACTCAAATCTTTAATGATGAGATTTTAACATATGTTATAGATCTAATTGAATCTTTACTCTTTTTTAAATTTAAGTTTATTCTCATTTAAATTTGGATCTCTTATTCTTTAAATTTGAGTTTGTTAATTGAATCCCTTTATATTAAATCAAATTTTTTACTCAAATATTAATTTAAATTTGAGTAATCGTTAGAGATGCTATAACATCAATAATAATTAAATTGTTATAAACATTTCATGTGTGGTGGATGATCACACACCCATCACATTTATTCCCTTGTCCCCTGGCCGCCGCCGACGGTCTTGCAATTGAGTTGTGCATTTTTCTTATAAAAGGCTTACAAAATGAATCAAAATGTGTGAATGAAAAAGAGAAGAAAATCAATAGTGTGGTCCTAAAGATCAACACATTTATATATTAAATTTTTGAAGAACTTATTATATATATAATTTTGTGTTTGTTCTCTTAATATTTTGTTAATATTTCCTTAATTTCATAATATGTTATCACCACGAGTCCCTTAATTATCCTAGGACAAGACTCTGTTTTCAAAAAAATTATGAAGTATGTTAAAGCACGATAAGTCTTGGATATTACATATTGTTCTTGGTTTTCTTTACAATTTTATCGTTCTTTTTTGATATGTAAAGTTATTGGAAAAAATTTCANATTTCATAATATGTTATCACCACGAGTCCCTTAATTATCCTAGGACAAGACTCTGTTTTCAAAAAAATTATGAGGTATGTTAAAGCACGATAAATCTTGGATATTACATATTGTTCTTGAAGGTTTTCTTTACAATTTTATCTTTCTTTTTTGATATGTAAAGTTATTGGAAAAAATTTCATAGAAGTTCTAAAGACTTCAAATTAGTTTTTATAATTCAAAAAAGTCCGGAAGATTTCAGAAGTGCTAATGGTTCCGCATTAATAGTTACAATTGATGAAAGTCTTGAAGCCTTTGCCATGATATAACAGTTCTATGAACTTTATTTTACTCATTGAATAATTAGTATTAAGCTACTATATAAATTAAAATGATTCTTCATAAAAGTCATAAATTTACACTATAAATTTATATATATGTAGTTATCAATAAAATATTATCAATTTATTGATTGATGGTCATCAGCAATGAATATTTGAGTATTATTTGTTGGTAGTTTTGTAGGTTTTATTGTTATTATTTGGATGGGATTCTGAATGTGTTAATATATTTTGTCACTTACAGCAATGTCAAACATCGCCAAACTAGAATTTGCTGCTCTCAACATCCTGACAATAATTATTTGTGCTAGGTCCTTGATGTCAAAATCCACCTAACTACTATGAAACTTGAATATACAATCTATAACGCCCCAAAATTAATCCTAGAAGACATTACTATCTACACAACGTCTAATAATGTGAGCACCTAAAATAATCTTTAAATAATAAAAACCATCCATCTGTTAAATAAATAACCAAACCAATCCCAATCAAAACAAAATTAAAACCATCTTGTTACGTACATCAAAAACCCAAAACAATACTAATCTTTTAACTAACTAATAAAGACAAATATCCACACATTGTTAAACTATTATCTAAATCTCAAATCCAAAGGTAATATATCCACATTCAGATCCACATCTATATCCCACTATGCTTACTCACCTAAACCGAGACCTTCCTTGAAATCAAAATCTAAAAAAATTATATATATATCGTAGGATGAGCCAATAAATCCAATAGAGAAACATTCTCAAACCCAACAAGGTTTTGAAATACCTAAAACAATAAGTTCTCATTTTGTAAAATAATATATAAGGATTTGAATTAAAACTGTGACAATTTATAAGATATTAGGTTTACGGTAAATACAATAAAAATTCATGAGTAATATATCATAGCTATCAAGCCAAATACATCAATATAATCAATATATATCTCATATGCACATGTAGGTAGGTTAACATGAATCCACACATCTAGAATATCCTAGTCCACACACACCCCCCCTAATCAACAATACAATCTTCGCAAGGATGACCCTTTTCTAAGGAGCGTGTATATCGATGCATCAACATTGATGTAACTGTAAGAATTTATTTAACGATTTGTATATGAAATTTAGAACACTTAAATTACAAGATTTGGAACATACTTGTGTGAGTCATGCTATTCAATTTCTGTTTTCTTCCACGGAAGGGCAAAATCTTCCTCTCCTTCCTCAAAGCAATAAGCGGCTCTCAATGGGACAAGCCAAATTAGGTTATGAAGTGGAGAGAGGACCAAGCCTGCTATTTATAATGAATTTAATCGGCTCTCCCATTATGGACCACAATTAGATTAAGGTCTACATTTAACCGTTTCAACCACTTCAATTAAGAGGAAAATGTGAAAAGGCACACCATTTTATACTTATTTGTGTAAAAATACATCAATATAAAACATGTGTACCTTTGTGTGTAAATGTTTGGTGATAAATTCTCTTTTGCTGATTTTAAAAATTTTCTTTTACGGAATTGTCCTTTTCCTTTATTAATGAGAGACAAATCTTCCAGTTATATTAGGAATTTAGTTTCATAAGTTTATAAAATAATAAATCAATTATTCAAACATTCTTATTCCTAAATTTAAGTCAGTTATATTAGGGATTCAGTTTCCTAAATCTGGCAGCTATACAATTTTTTTTTGTTTTTTATATCTTCCTCTTTCATTCAACTAAAATTATTCAAATATTCATTTTTATTCAAAAATTCATGTCTTACCCACATCTGTATAATTTATTTATTTTTATAAATCGTAATGAGGAATATATATTTTTACCTTATATAATACTATTGGTTGTTATGAGTGTTTTTTTCATGAAAATTTTAAATTTATATGTATTTTATTTGATATGTTTATAAATAGCAGTTGTACATGTCGCATTGGCATAGTGACACATGTCACATTGGCACAATGGTACACGACAATGTCATAGTGCTAAAAGATAATGTCACACTAATACAAGTCAATGTCATANAGTTTTGAACAAAATACATGTTTGGATTTAAAGAATATTTGTTGTTAAATTTCCAAAACCCTAGTTGTGCTAAATACATGTTTGGCTATGAAAAATACATGAATTCTTGATTTCGAAATTCCTATTCTTGATTCAATCATGTTTTTATCTAATACTTGTTCTTGTTCCAAGAAATTATGATTCTTGGCAAAATTCTAGAATTTTGATATCAAAATTGTGAATGTTTTCTTGAAATGATCTCTTGCATATTTTAATCCCTTATTGTTGTAGTATATTGAGAATTGTGAAATTGAGATACTTGAATTGGTAATAAAAATTATGATTGGTTAAGATTATGATTGTTGAGAAAGTTGTGATTTCATCTCTTGCATGATTTATTGTGATGGACTTGAATTGCCTTCAAGAGCTGCCGTAAAGTGTTAGAGGTTAGTCTATCCCAGTGGGAGTGAGCTAGNGTGAAATTGAGATACTTGAATTGGTAATAAAAATTATGATTGGTTAAGATTATGATTATTGAGAAAGTTGTGATTTCATCTCTTGCATGATTTATTGTGATGGACTTGAATTGCCTTCGAGAGCTGCCGTAAAGTGTTAGAGGTTAGTCTATCCCAGTGGGAGTGAGCTAANTATCATTGAAACATAGTTTTGAACAAAATACATGTTTGGATTTAAAGAATATTTGTTGTTAAATTTCCAAAACCCTAGTTGTGCTAAATACATGTTTGGCTATGAAAAATACATGAATTCTTGATTTCGNATATGTTTATAAATAGCAGTTGTACATGTCGCATTGGCATAGTGACACATGTCACATTGGCACAATAGTACACGACAATGTCATAGTGCTAAAAGATAATGTCACACTAAAACAAGTCAATGTCATCTTATACCAGCTTATGTTACACTGATAT